TTAATCTCCCTGCAGAAAGGGGCGATGAGGCTTCACTGCAGCTGTTGGGACATTCTGAGGGGATCCGGTCACCGAGGATGTCGACTTGAGAAACACATGTTTGAAACTCGAACCGAGCTGAAGCGAAATATTCAAAAGTATGTATATGTGCAATGTGTATTCATATGTGTGTATATATACATATTATATATAAACATGTATATAAATATATAGATATATCTATCTTTATAAATGTGTGTGTGTATGGATTTATGCATATATATATGTGTGTGTGTATATATATATATATATATATTTATATGTGTGTGTGTGTGTGTGTGTGTGTGTGTGTGTGTGTGTGTGTGTGTGTGTACATATATATATGTATATGTATACATATGCATGTATATGTATATACACACATGTATGTGTAGATATACATATATATATATATATATATATATATATATATATATATATATATATACATGTGTGTGTGTATATGTATATGCATACAAATATATATATATGTATACATATGTGTGTGTGTGTATATGTACATACATGTGTGTGTACATATATATAAACATATATATATATATATATATATATATATATATATATATATATATATGTATATATATATATATGTGTGTGTGTGTGAGTGTATGTGTGCATATATATGTAAGTATGTATATATATGTATATATATATATATATATATATATATATATATATATATATATATATATATATATATATATATATATATGTATACATAAATATATATATATATTGATGTTTATATATACATAATCTATATGTATATATATGTAATATATATTTGGCACATGTATGTACCTATGTACATGTATATATATGTACTGAATATTCCTCAGAAAACGCGAGAGTAAAATAGATTTAATTGATCCTTTTTATGATTCAAAAAAATATTTTTCAAAATGTTTCCAAGTAAACACTTTCGACTCCCCACTGCAATTGTCAACAGTTAAGTGTATCATGAGTCACGTAAACTTCACAGTAGACTACTATATACATTCTGCTCTTTATTTTTTGATATATATATTTTTTTTCTTTCCCTGTGGTTCAGAAATTCGGAGACTGCATCATTGTAGGACCGAGTTTACAGAGGTGTCTCGTTGTCCCTCAATATTTGCTTTGAAGGACGAGCCTCAAAGGATATTTTGAAAACGAAAAAAAAGAATCAAGTTTAAGAGAGGAAGAAACCTTTCGAATATAACCAACTTTACATATATGTCGTCTATTCAACGTGAAACGTGAGAAAAAATAATATTGTCCCAGCCACATGTACTGTCACTATCAACACCTTTGTACCTTCTCATTTGATTTTGTTTAAAAAAGATTTGTTTTGCTTATGACAATATGATTAACCCACGTATCTCTTTCCTCCAGTGCTTTCCCTTTCAAAACTTTTGACCCCGTCCTCTCTCTTTTCCCGTTTCACCGTGTCTCGAGCTGGTCATAGATTCGCTGACTAGCCATTTCTCTGAGGGACAATTGATCTCAATGTACAAATGGTGTAACTAAATGATAGAGACGAGATCTAAAAGTCCCCAAGAGAGGTATTACGGTGAAAATGTGAGACACCTGAACGCGAGTTGGGTTCGGCGCCACCGGCTCGCTTGGCGGGATGTGCTTCTAAGCGACCGCCGGACTGGAGCTCTGATGGCTAGGTCTTGCACACATATCGAAACGAAATATTTAAAAAAAAACTCCTGCCATCACGCTCTGATATTCTTCTCTTCCTTTTTTTTTGGTCTGTTTGTTATTCCTTTATTTTTTGTCTGATTTTACTGTATAATTGCGACTTTTCTTCGTCTGCAATTGTCTTTTATCTTTTATTATTGCTGAGTTTCATACTTTTCATATTCTCTCTCCTCTCGTCTTCATTATCTCTCCTCTCTATCCTAACTTCTCCCTTATCGACTCAACGCCGCTTTCTCTTTCTGCTGCTGTATCTTTCCTCTAACAAAATATCCACCTCTATTAACCTGCCAAATATTTCTTTTCCCGCCTATTCCTAACACTTTTATCTTCGTATCTTCCCTTTCGCCATTTACAAGCACGCATCGCAAGCACTCCTTTCCCAACAGGGTATTCCTCAACCTCTCGATTTTCTTCTTCTCTTCGTTACTGCCTCTTCCTCTTTCTCGTCTGGACGCGCTTTACCTCTGCACTCTTCTCCCTCGTCCTTCGCCCTCATCCTTCGCTCTCTTCTTTCGCCCTCAACCTTTACCCTCTTCTTTCGTCCTCTGCCTTTGCCCTCTTCTTTCGCCCTCTTCTTTCGTTCTTTGCCTTCACCCACTTCCTTCGCCTTCACCCTTCGCCCTCTTCCTTCGCTCTCACCCTTCACCCTCACCATTCGCCCTCATCTTTCGCCCTGTTTTTTCGTTCTTTGCCTTCACCCACTTCCTTCGCCCTTACCCTTCGCCCTCTTCCTTCGCCCTCTGCCTTTGCCCTCTTCCTTCGCCCTCTTCTTTCGCCCCCTTCTTCCGCCCTCTTCCTTCGCCCTCTTCCTTCGCCCTCTTCTTTCGCCCCCTTCTTCCGCCCTCTTCCTTCGCCCTCTTCCTTCGCCCTCTTCCCTCGGCCTCTTCCTTCCCCTTTTCACCGTCTCTATTTCAGCGCACTGAGAAGGCTACACATTACCGACACAAGCCGCATACCGAACAGATACTGACCCTTTTTAGTACCATTTAGCCATGTAAGCAAAACAGACGTGGACATGTGTGTGTATGTGGCGCACCGAAGCAAAGGCCAAATGTATACACCATACACTGAATATTATCACAATTAGGGACAAGTAGATAATGTTTGTACGTTTGAATATATTAATTTTTGGGGTCACAATCAGTGGTACGGCAAATCACAAGAGTGTAATGTTATGGAATTATAAATACAGCATGTATAAAAAATACCATGTTTCTTTTTTTTACCCTACTCAAAATGTGTAAACGAATATATATATATATATATATATATATATATATATATATATATATATATATATATATATATATATACATATATATATATATATATATATATATATATATTATATATATTCTATATATATATATGTTTGTGTGTGTAGTGTTGTGGGTGCATATATATTTAAGTATATATATATATATATATATATAGATATATATATATATATATATATATATATATATATATATATATGTATACATAAATATATATATATTGATGTTTATATATACATAATCTATATGTATATATATGTAATATATATTTGGCATATGTATGTACCTATGTACATGTATATATATGTACTGAATATTCCTCAGAAAACGCGAGAGTAAAATAGATTTAATTGATCCTTTTTATGATTCAAAAAAATATTTTTCAAAATGTTTCCAAGTAAACACTTTCGACTCCCCACTGCAATTGTCAACAGTTAAGTGTATCATGAGTCACGTAAACTTCACAGTAGACTACTGTATACATTCTGCTCTTTATTTTTTGATATATATATATTTTTTCTTTCCCTGTGGTTCAGAAATTCGGAGACTGCATCATTGTAGGACCGAGTTTACAGAGGTGTCTCGTTGTCCCTCAATATTTGCTTTGAAGGACGAGCCTCAAAGGATATTTTGAAAACGAAAAAAAAGAATCAAGTTTAAGAGAGGAAGAAACCTTTCGAATATAACCAACTTTACATATATGTCGTCTATTCAACGTGAAACGTGAGAAAAAATAATATTGTCCCAGCCACATGTACTGTCACTATCAACACCTTTGTACCTTCTCATTTGATTTTGTTTAAAAAAGACTTGTTTTGCTTATGACAATATGATTAACCCACGTATCTCTTTCCTCCAGTGCTTTCCCTTTCAAAACTTTTGACCCCGTCCTCTCTCTTTTCCCGTTTCACCGTGTCTCGAGCTGGTCATAGATTCGCTGACTAGCCATTTCTCTGAGGGACAATTGATCTCAATGTACAAATGGTGTAACTAAATGATAGAGACGAGATCTAAAAGTCCCCAAGAGAGGTATTACGGTGAAAATGTGAGACACCTGAACGCGAGTTGGGTTCGGCGCCACCGGCTCGCTTGGCGGGATGTGCTTCTAAGCGACCGCCGGACTGGAGCTCTGATGGCTAGGTCTTGCACACATATCGAAACGAAATATTAAAAAAAAAAATCCTGCCATCACGCTCTGATATTCTTCTCTTCCTTTTTTTTTTGTCTGTTTGTTATTCCTTTATTTTTTGTCTGATTTTACTGTATAATTGCGACTTTTCTTCGTCTGCAATTGTCTTTTATCTTTTATTATTGTTGTTGAGTTTCATACTTTTCATATTCTCTCTCCTCTCGTCTTCATTATCTCTCCTCTCTATCCTAACTTCTCCCTTATCGACTCAACGCCGCTTTCTCTTTCTGCTGC